TCCATCCCTGCCCTTTTTGTGTGACTCAGTAAGTGAAATCTCATTCTTGTGATTCAAAAAAATTTAAGTGTTCTGGTCATTAATGAGGAAGTCTCAAGATATTTACTTAAATCCCATCAAATTTATTTTTAATACTTCATGTAATTAATTAATTCCTTAATTGTACAGAACAATTGAATTAAGTGTATTTTCATTCTATCAGTTATGGCTTTTTTCCCCCCAATACTTAGAATTGTCTGTCTTTTTCATTCTTATCCATCCAGAGAAAATAGAATTAGGTCACAAAAAACCCCTTTGTATATGCCAAATTTAAATGAAGCCATTTTTGCTCCAGATTTTTTTCAGAGATGTGTGAGCAGGACTTTCTTTTTCCCCCTAGGAAAATCTGTAAAATTGTCATGAAACAAAATGGAAAGCTGAAGGTTTTAAAGGTTAATGTTTTGAAATTTCCTGTGTGTGGTATGGGAAGTGCTTTATCATTATTTGCAAACTTTATCACAGAAATTGCTGCAAATCATCCAATAACAATCCAGAAACAATTGTCTCAGTACTGTGGCATAGAATAAGAATAGCTTTATGCTGTAGGAGCCCTAGTTTTTTAAGATCTAGCTTGCTAGCACAGTGCAGAAGTATTACATTTGTGAAACTGAATGAGCTGGTCAAAAGGCAGAGACTGGATTACATTGGTGTTTCTTTTTTTCTCTTCTGCTCCCCTCTTTTCTCTCTGAGGAATTCTTGTACAGTAATTTTTAGCTTCAATGTAACCAACTATGAGCTTTCAGCTTCCAAGAAGTTTTGATGGAAAATACAATAGTTTAATTTCCTGTTAACTTCTACCAAAGTACGAGTTGGATAGATTTTACAGTTTTTTCATTATAAGTGTGATACTGTGATATCAGACTCTTAACTAGTATAAATCAGCATAGATTCACCGAAGCTATTCCTGTTCAACTCTTTCTCATCTTAAGAATGATGAAGGAAAAATATCTAGAGAAAGAAAAACATAATCTCAGTCAGAAAAATCAGAAAGGTAAGTGTGTAGAAAAGGATGTAAAGTGTTTTCATTGGTATCTTATTAAATGAAGAGGAAAAAACCAAAAATATCCTGTATTTGTTAGAATTTGTCATCCTATGAATTTATTTCATTCATTGAGTACTCCTGGATTTGGATTTAGGATCATATGTTAATCCTCATTCTTTTTTTTTAATATAATTTATCTTGTAAACTGTTTTTAAAGCATAGTTTCACGCTCTGTCAGAGTCTCACAATAGATTTTTTGTATTGTAAGACAATGTTTTTTCCCCATTATTTTTTAGAACTTATTTTGTCTTAACCTTTTATTTAAAATGTATATTCTGGGAAATATTTAGATTATAAGAAAAAGAACTATTCTAATGCTGTTTGTGTCCCTGCCTGCATGTACATGATTAATTTTATTCCAATTAACTAGACCATCTCGATTACACCAAAATGGCTCTATGTTGGTCAATCTGCGGAGGGGCAGTGGCCCTTCACTCAAGGGATAAGTTATGTTTTGGACTTCCCCTCTATTATCAGACTTGAGGAGATTAAAGAGCCAGATTTATATTTGTGACAGGGCTACATGGACCACTGATACTGGAGATGCTCCTTCTCTATCTGTGAGCTAGCAGGCAGCCTTATTCCTGGCCTTGGCTGCCCAGGCCGGTCGGGCCGGCCAGGCAGGGTCCTTTGTACTGGCCCCAATCTCAGAGCCTGCAGGTAACTGCACCTTGACCGAAAGTCAAAGTCGAAAAGGGGAAGTTCAGCACCAAGAGAAAAGGCAGCCCGGTCCGTCAAACCCGAGCCGCTGCGGTCGGCAGTGGTCGCAGAGGTTTCAATTTCCGAGCCCGAGCTGCCTCCCTGCAGGGCAGGGGTGAGCTGCGAAACTGGCGGCTGGGTGATAAAGGCCGCTCCTTCCTTTCTCACTGGCATCAGGCTATTCAAATAAATAGGATGGAATCCTGGGCATTGCTATGAAAAAAGAAAAACCCCGGGGCATTGTTTTGATCGCTAATTCACGGCGAATGAAGTAGGACCTGCATTGCTGAGATTTAATCTCACGTACAATTTGATATAAAAATGATTTTCTGTTTCGCACGCTCTCTTAACAGCCTAAAACGGACCGCCTGTGATTTCCGCTCCAATGTTCGCACAGGGATGTCCCATGTCTGGTTTCACTCCCGCGGTTCCCGGGCCCGCGCGCGGGGTGGCGCCGGCAGGTGGCGCTGTGGGCCCAGGCACGGCGCGCGCGCGGGCGGGCGGCGCTCCCTCCGCCGGCGGCTCCGCGCGGCCCGGGCTCCCCTTCCCCTCCCTCCCCTTCCTTCCCCCGGCCCTCTGCTCTTTTCGGTTTCTACAGATGTGCTCTTTTGAATGGTTTCAATAAAATTTTATTGCCGTCATTTGAAAAATAGTGGAATTATTGTGATTTGTGCAGCCTGGCAGAGGAGAGCCCGCCGGGGCTGGCCGCGGCCGGTGCTCCCCGTTCCGCGGGCTCCCCTCGGGCATCATGTACCCCACTGCGATTCCAACGTGCCAGGTGGCACTGGAACTGAAGCTTGCAGCCTTTCCTCTCCCCCTCCCCCCCTCCCCAGGTAAAGTGGCTCATCGTGGTTCTGTAGGAGACTGTATCTATATTTTTTTCCGCCCCCCAAACGAACCCCCAGGCATTCCCTGCTCCCCACAGGGGCCCGCAGCCAACTTGATCTGGGCGGCGAGGGGACACACCAGGCTGGAGTTGGCTGCCTGGGAGTCCCTAAGCACCAGCGTGAAGTAGCAGACATTACAATACAGGCACGTTTTGTGAGAGGGCAGAAGTAACTCTGTGGCTAATAGTTGCTCTTTATACTGCTGCAAGCCTTCAGTGTTTCCGAGCACCCTTTTGAAGGCATACAGACATCGAGTACTGCAGGCAGATGTTATACGTGTCTGTCTCCATAAAATACATGGCGCATATACAAGAGAGAACCTTTCTTCATTTTTTTTTTTTTTTTTTTTTTTTTTTTTTTTTTTTTTTTTTTTTTTGTGTGTGTGTGTGCTTACCATATCACCTTGTCTCTCAAGGACAGCACATTGCTAAAATGCAGGCAGAGATTTATTGGAGGGACAAGAAGGACTTTACCCCTCCTGCTCCTCTCCCCATCAGCTCATGTCTCCCACTCCTCTGCCAGTCTGGCATCCCTTATGCTCCACTGTGAGCTGGAAGAAAGCAAGCAATATAGCCAGGGGGACATCTTGCCCCCCCCCCCCGTGCCATGGCTTCTCATGGGGAATGTAGCCCTTGTGGCATGGCCTCCTGTGGGAGACAGGAGATGTAGCTACCTTCATTACTTGCCCCAGAGTATAGGCACGTTGTCTCAGTCACCATAGCCACTGGGTTGCTTTCCCTGTCTTCCTTTCCCCTTTCTGGAATGTCCAGATAAACAGCCTACAATGAAATCTGCACAGTAACAGTTTTCTTCCTTATAATGACTTGATACAGTGGATTCCATGAATAGAGATAACAATAGTGACCTCATCATGAGATCTTGTAGGTACTCACATAAAAAAATAATAATTAAAGTCTTCAGAGTGCCTCAGTGTTGCTGTCATGCCTGCAGTATGCACTGCAGCTTCCTGCCAGAGGCTAGCTTCAGTTCAGAAGTACTGCCACTTCATCTGGAAGCCAAGAGTTGAATGCTGGACCCTGCTTCTGGGCCAAAATGACTCTACTACTGTTAGTTTTGAAGGAAGTGTAGCTCTACTTGGCCTGTGTTATTACCACTGCACAACACAGCTGTGCACCTACTGCTCAGACTGCTGTTTCTGTCTTGTTTAGCATTCCAGTTTCATGTGTAACTTCAGAGAAGGGGATTTGGGGTCCTGAGTCACTCAGAAATCTTTAAAAGTTCCATGCTTTGCTTACTTTTAGCTATCTGAATGGACTAATGATTAGTCAAAATCATTCCATAACTGAAGTGGTGAGAGTGAGATACTGTGTGTATTGAGTTGTTATCCAACTGGAAACTAAAATTCTCACCATGCTGTGAAATGCATAGTTAATGACTAATAATATAACCAGTATTAAAACTAACTTAATCTAGTCTTACAATGCTTGCAATAGACGGACATTCCTCTTCAGAGTTAATTTTCAGGGTGCTTATAAACATCACGGTCAGTTTATTCCATTTACTCTCTTGCTTCATGGTGGATAAGACTTAGGTAAAATTATCTGTACTCAGTATGTGCCTATAGTATCATCCAATCATGTAAATTCAGGGGCACTATTTTTAATCAGACAATATAATTGGTACTAATCTTGAAATAAATGGTGCTCCTGAGAAGCAGGAGCTCCTGTCTTCTATGGAGCACCATCTGTGTGGTTCATATGCAATCAGCAATATTTATATTAAATGCTATATATTCTGCCTCATCTACTGTTTGATTTCTTCTCTCATCCTATGAACCAAAACAGGAGTCACAACACTCAAGTTCTGACAAGTAATTTCTTCCCTCAGTCCATTATGCATACCTTGTTAATGCAGCTTTGTTCAGCCCTTTTGTCAACCTACAGTGCTCATTGTACAGCCTATCTGCCCAGTGCAAGTTCTTTAGTTTACTTTCATTGTAATGTCTATAAAGCTTTTTATATATCCCCTTCATATCTTCTAAAACTTTACTCTTTTCTCCATTTCATCGCAGTCATATGGATCTCACATTGTCTTGTCCCAAAATATCACATTAGATTATCTCCAGAAACAGTTCTGCTTCTCATTTACTAGAAGACCATTCTTTTTTTGTGTTTTGTTGTTGTTGTTGTTGTTGTTTTTTTGTTTGTTTGGTTGTTTTGTTTTGTTTTGTTTTTTCTGTGAATGCTTTTAAGAGGCAAAATTGTACTCTCTTGGCTAAAAAAAAATTAATAAAATTGAGCATACATTTTTCACATCGCCATTTTGCTAACAAATGTGCTTTTCCTGTTCTTTCTCTTTTCTTACATGGCAAGGGGTTTGTAAGCAAACTGGATGAATTCATTCACTGGTTAAATGAAGCCATGGAAACAACAGAGAATTGGACTCCTCCTAAAGCAGAGACAGACAGCCTTAAACTGTACCTGGAGACACACTTGGTAGGACAAGATTATACTATGATTACTATCAGTAATTGAAGTGTTCTGCTGTGCTTTTTATTTGATTATTATTTTTTAATTACTAGTGTCATCTATATTTTAATGTAAGATTTGCAGCATTACAGTTTATTTTAATGAAAATAGCAACAAATTATTTTCTGTATTTGAAATATGTACTGATAGCTTTGTAAAAAATAAATTAAAAGTCAGAATTACATTACAATTCAGAATTTATCTCCAAAACTGAAAGAAAATGGCAATAGCAAAAGAACAAAGGATAATGTTTTTTCTGCTGATCATTCTAGGATTTTTACTCCACTGTAACGTTAACAAAAGTCTTTCTAGTGTGTAACTTATTCTCTCTCCCATATTTTTAACACACAGAGTAATTTAAATAAAAAATTGAAATAGTTAATAATTTTATTTGATGTACATTTCTGTAATGTAATTAATACAACTGCCACTAACCTTGTTCTTGTGCAAAAAGCTAAAACATTGAGTGGAAATAGAAAACATTTGGACGAATAATCTTCTAAATATTTTACAGGCTAGATTTATAGATTGAGAAATATTTGATAAACCTCATGGGACTTTCACTGAATTCTTCTAAGAGCTGTTTCTCGTTATGAGGTGAAACAAAGAGCTGCATTAAATCAGACATTAAGTCCTCGAAAGTAAGATTTAATGCTGAAGGTAGAGAATAGAGCTCAATGTATGCTGTTCAATGAGTAGGTGTCTTAACAGGTAAACTACTCTAGCTGGTAAAAGGAATAAAAAAAGAATGGAAAATTAAGCGAAGAGATTTCCTCTCATTCTGCCAAAATCTTAGGTTCTTGTCAGTATGAAATGGAAGATACACAGTGATAACACTACTTTTAGCCAATGACCTAGACATCCCACCTAGATAAAACAGTACATTAGCTGAGCCCACAACACAGCATCAACTCCCAAAGCTCAGTCTCATTTCCAGTCTCTGATAATCTTACGGTAGAAAAGTATTTGACAGTCCCAGGAAGTCATGTGATGCATTACAGGAAAAAATGTCATCCTAATCCCTACTGTAATATTGGAGTGACCATTATTAAATTAATTAAGTATACATTAACCACATATACAATTAGAACCAAATTGAAAACTGTCTTCAGAATTTCAGCTATAAAGAAAGCTCTTGTGCCTTTTCTTCTTTAACAATTTCTGTTGTAGTAGCACCCAGGGGCAGTCAGTAAATTATGGTAGTCTATCAAATGCAGTATGAAGACACTGTGTTTTTGCCTTACTTTGTGGATTTTGGGGTTTGGGGTGAAGTTCAGTTTTTTTCTTGTGCTGCACACACTTGGTCCCATGATTCCCACTGTGTTTGCAGGTGCTCTGAAGATACAGAGCATGTTGTAAAATCAGACCTCGGAAAAGGCACTGGCCAGTTTGTTTTCCTTGTACTCTGCAACATGAAACTTTCGTAGAGATAAGTTTTTATGAGTAGAATTGCAATTTTCACTCTTGACTGGATAAATAGAAACATTTTCCAGGAACAGGACAATCACCAGGCTGAGTACTTCTCACAGTCAGTTTCTTTTTCCCTTTCTTCCATGGTGAGGAGCACAGTAGCTCATTTGTAGGCAAACGACTTCTAACTTTGCCATGTGGTTTTCTGAGAGGGGAGGCCAAACCCATCTATATCAGACTGAAATGTGGAACAGTAGCTTAGAGGTAACTGCTTCATTGCTAGAGGTTGTCTGAATAAATGAGTATGTGGGCACCTGTACAACCTCACTTTCCCTTGTCAGTACCTGGGTCCCCAGCTGCACTCTCTATATCTGCATATCTTTGGGGTAAGAAAATCATTATATGCTTCAGGATGACTATGTTATGAAACAAGTTGGGTTTTTCCTTTACTTCTCTGAAGAAATAAAATGTCTAAAGAGCAGTTCAATTTCAATTTGAAAATATTATAATTATTTTTGTGGCATCTATAGCTAGTGAAAAACCCACTGTATAACCTGAAAAAACGTTACTCTGAGTTTTCTTTTTTGGATTTCAGAAAAGATATACTATCATACCAGTTTATACACAGCAGAAAAAAGAGAGCATTTTTATAGCAGGGAAGATAGTTTTTTTTATTAATTAGATTGTCAGCTTTTCAGTGGCATTTATCTGTCAGACATCCTAATCTGTGTTTAAACAGAAGTATATGAACTTCAATTCACATTAAGCTCAATGTTGAAATTTCCCTTAGTTGAGCATTGTAAGACTGGTGATCAAGGTCTTTGTGAGGGACTTATGCTCCACATTTTCTTCTTTAGCCAGTCAGGTTATACATGTTGTCGGACTCATCTAAGATCTGTTGAAATAAAGGACTTGGAACTTAGAACTTTACAAGATTAGGTTCCAGACTTATGAGTTTATAGTACAGATACTGGTAACAAACTAACTTGGAAAACAAAGAAAATGTCTTGGTTCTTTTCTATGTACTGCATCTACACTAGCAAATCTCATAACTATGATTCCTCACTAATGTAGATTTTCTCATCATAGGATAAGTGAAAAATCAGTGTAGATAAGCATTTTTATTAGTAGAGACATGGCCTTAGCCTTTGGCACAAGTTGTCAATTTCACTACCTGTGATAATTGTTTTCTTGGAAATATGTTTGTTGCGATAACAAAATTAGTGCCATAAAGAGAGAATATTTTACGTTCGTGAGTGAAATCTCTTCTGTCAAAATCTAAGAAAAGGAGAACAGAAAAAATATACTTGTTCTCTTTGATATTATTGGCTGGAGAAAGTCCTGCTAAGGCAGCAAGGACAGGGTTCTGAGCATCCTCCAAATTTTTCACTTTGTAAAATTCTAGACTGTCATTTTAGGATTCCAGTGTAAACTGTTGATAAATGATTGAATTTTAAAGTCTCTCTTCACCCAGCCTTGCTTTTCACTGTCTTTGACATTTTGAGAAATAGTGTGGCACAGACACTTGAAGAGACTGTGTTTAAAAAAAAAAGGCATCACAAGAAACCTACAACAAAACTTATTTGAATCTTTGCTCACATGAGGAGTTAAATCTCTTGAACAGGATGGTGATGTATGTCTCTGTTAACAGGCATCATTGCATGACATCCTTCAGCTTAAATTGGTAGCATTCCCCAAACAACATTGCTTAATTCTTTTATATGATCTGGCAATATTGTCCACCTAGGATGTTAATCAACACTTTGAAGCAGACGAATAGTGTTTGTCTATTGCTCTTGGCTCAGCAAGAGCTGCCTGCAGGCATTTCTGTAACTGTCTGAAGCTCCTGAAATAGTGAAGCACTTTGTTGTGAAGGTGGAAGGCAGCCTCTCCTCAAGTTGATCCGTTTTTCCCAATTATATCATCTGTGCAGAGACTAGCTGGAGAGTTCCTGGGTCACCCAGGGAATACATGACTAAATGCACTGTGTGCACACAGGCACAGGCCTGATACCCTAATACACTACAATTATAATTATTGACTGTAGGACAAATTGGAATTTCATTCTTAAATCACAGTTACAACTTAAACTCCATAGATTTTTCCGTGATGAGTAACCATACAGTTTGCTAAATAGTATGATCTTTTCCTATAAATTGAAAGGTAGTCTACACCTTGAATGTGTGCCACAATAGGCAATCTTCAGCATGGAGAACTTTTTCTTGCAAGTTTTAATACCAAGTTCCATGATGTTCTGCAGAACAGAAGTTGCTATATGCTTCATTTTAGATAACACCAAAGCACAAAGCTATAAATGAAAATGCTATCAGAGATCCATGGAATAGTGATTGAAATTATTCTTTCCATTTTACAGGTCTTCACAACTGAGTAACATCAGTTAAACTGATTTGGGAGCTGCGTGCTTCCCATTCATATGGAAGGGCTGACATGGAGCAGCCACCACTTGAACATCTGGCACTCTGCAGGCAGCCACCCAAGCCAGCAGATGTCGAAAACACTAATACGTTTTCATAAAACAGGGGTGTTTTTCAGGAGAAATCTACTTTCTCACAAAGGCCTCAGTCAGTCCTGTTAGAGAAAAAAGTGAGGCAGGTTTTGAATTTTGTGAACATTTAGGCTCAAATCCATTCCCAATGAGAAGATAACCTCATTTACCTTACCAAAAAAGGAACTTCTGAAAATGATTTCTGATTCACTTTATCTTTTGTATCCTTTTCTGTTATGCTGATTCTTTCCCATTGGCAACCTGATCAAAATCAGCTACTAACAGACTGGTGGTATGCAAATCAATTTTCATGAAAAACAGTATCCTGAAGCAGCTTATGAGCTAAAAGCATCTATCTAGGTGGTACTGCTGTGCTTGTGAAACCAAGCAGACTTTCTTACCGGCTCAACAGATAAGAATTCACCATATTGCTCTTGACCATTTTAATTTGCTAAAACAGACATTTAACTTTATCCCTGGCCAGACAAGATGCATTGTTTTAGCACAGTAAAAGAAGTAAGCTAGCAAATGAGGAAATGGGAAGAACTGCTGAGGGAAAGGTTTAGACAAGAGGCACTATATTTATTTGCTGAGGACTGAAACTTTTAATTTTGTAGTCTCAACTTTTTCCTTTGTTGTTAACACAGTCCTTCATTTTCTTGTTGCTACACAACTTCTAGTTTACACCATACTGTGGTGAGCTCTTACGTCTTTTGTCCTAAACCATTTCTGTGTCTAGTATCATATTTCGAGCTATGTAATACAAGACTTTTTAAATGGGAACCTGCAAATGAAAAAGATCATTTGTTGGAAATTCTTAAATCCTTCTTGCACTATTAGTTGATGTTAGCAAACAATATTTTTCAGTAGAGAAAAAATTAATTAGGGAGAAGTCTTAGAAATTTAGTAGTCAGGCACTTTTGTTCTAACAGTCTTACTCTTCAGAATTTGTATAAAATTCTGAAATCCTGAGTACAAAGAACAAAGAAGAGAGAGAGAGAGTAATGACAGGTTTTGCATTTTTTCTTCAAAACCAGATAAAGAATGGTCA